GGCGCGACGCCCAGCAGCGCCCGCGACTCGCAGCCCAGAACCGGGGCACGGCTGGCCTCCTGCAGAACAAGCACCTGGAACGCCTGCGCAGCCCATCCACAAAAATCCAGGGTCTTCTGCTACGGGCCAACAAGGCTTGCAGATTGAATGTACTTTTAAATTAATTTTCCATCCAGTATACAAAAGGTCCGCTGCAGTAACGTATAAACAACGTCACACGAGCCAGAAATAGAGGTATATGGGTAGATCCTTTCCAATGCAGCCCCGGACACAAATTATCCCTAAGCCGAGAAGAAAAGCATTTTAGCCATTTTATTTCGAAAAGTCAGGACAGCTGTCTCCAGACCTGCAGGAACCCTGCGCTGGCTCACGCAGTCAGTATCGTCCTGCTTAGCCAGGATCACCGCCGCATCCTCCTGCGTGTCTGCGCCTATACTTGGTCATTTCTCCAGGCACAGGCTGCCATTTTTACTGTCTCTTGACACTTGCAAAATTCGCATTTTTAGACAAGAGAGTGGCAACTACTTTGTTCTCAAAGTGCGGGGCTGAAGAGCTTTCTGTCTATTCTCTCAAACTCGAAATTCCTGTCATAACTCGCTAAGACCTCCTTTTGCCGATAGCTCTCCCTCCCCTACCCACTGAAGTGCTATTTCACATTCTTGCGTATTTTCAAGAAGACATGCCAGCAGCTGGATTGAAGAATGGGAAGAATACCTGCCGGGTACCCACCAGCAACCCAACCCAACCCGCCCCGTGACTCCACCAGCCCAAAGCTCCAGCAGTCAGCAGACCATTAGTTTACACAGTTCTTATCTCACGGCCCTTTGGTTTCAAACCCAAACTAAATTACGGAGTCATAACTCCACCCACCTGAATCGACTTCAAATGCTTCAGAGCTTTCCTGAGTGAATCAACAAGTCTATTTATCAGCAAGCAGGGAGATTTATTGCATTTACCATCACCTGTAAAAGTCAAGTGTCTTAGAACAGAGGACCAAGAAGAATTCAGCTAATGAGAAGCATTTCTGAAGTGAGAAGGGGGAAGCCTCATGAGATGCAGGGTAGTACACAAAGAATATTACACCTTCAACACATTATGTATGCATCCTGTTCAGGTACGCTGCTCAATTCTGTTCAAAATTAGTGGCTAAATTCCCCATCGATATTGGAGGAATAAGATCAGTTCCAGAGTTTTCTATCTTTTCCGTGGTGGGTAGGAATCTCCCCTGAGCGCACACCAGGGGTGCCAGTGCAGGACCACCACAAGACGTTTACCATACCGACAGAGAAGGCAACGTGGCGGAGAGCGGGGGACGGCACGGTGACGGAGCAGGGGGACAGGCAGGACGTCAGGTCAGCAGGCCGGCCTGGGACTCCCTGCTGAGGCACCCCAGGGAGGTGCCTCTCGCTGGCTCTCACTCGGCCCGG